CATTCTGTGTGTGCAGTGAATGACAGGCAGCACCAAACTGTCTGAAACCTCCTCAGGCTACAGACAAACTTCGACTCACACACACACACACACAAAAACACACGGACAAACTGGTCATTGACTGGCTCTGAATCAGCTAGGCTAAGATTTCCTGTCTAACTGCTTCGACTGTCGACAAATCACATGAGGTCCGAACCCTCAAGGTCTGAGGGCTTGAGCATGTCGCTTTGGGCTGGAAAAAAAAAAAAAAAAAAAAAGCTGCCTCTTCTTTGTGCTAGGAGGGTGAATTGTGAAGTTAATTTAAGAATTGGCAGATAGCTATACCGACTGACTCTTTATATTGTACCAACAAATGCCTCAAAGCCTTGGCATATCATTCCGACTCACAGGGGTGTTTCTCTATCATCTCTCCTTGCATTCCTCTATCGCTCTGCCACACTCCTCCGATCTGTTGAGAATAAACTGCAGGGGAGCTTTCTGGTCATCCCTTAAAAGTTTCCTTTGGGGAACGCTCTTTAAGTTATTATCCATATTTGTGGATTTTTTTTTTCATTGCCATTGCTGTTACGATCATTTAGAAGCTGTTCCATCATCTGTGCTTGTTTGGGCTGCTGAGCTGTTTTATTTTTGATTCTAGTAGAGCAGGCCAAATGGGAGAGTTAGGTGCACAGTGGATGTCTCAGTTGTGAATAATGAAATCATGTTTACTTGCTATTTTAAATATGGTGCATTTATTCAAAATGTAATCTGTAAACCATGATTAGAGGTGGTCAGATGTCCAGGTGAATATACTGTATGCTGTATTGTAGGCGTTTTGCTTTGCTGTAACTGAGGGCAGTTCCCATTGTTCAGAGATGGATGTTAAAGAATAGATTAGCCTTGAATCAGCTAGGCAGCAAGGGACCATAAAATTTACCTCAACGCTAACTGCATTACGTTTCTCTGTCCACCACTTATCTGTGTGTCCATCTGTCTATCTATCGCCCTGTAATTCATTATGTCTCCCCTGTTTCAATTTGATGACCTATTGTTACCTTTCTACGAAGCCGCCTGCTTTGTGGTCAGGGTCCTCAAGCTTTCTGCATTATCATTGTTGTTCTGTCACTTATTGTTAGACGGGAATTGAAATGCTTTCATCTGTAACTTTGTCATTACTTAAGTTCTCTGTGTTATTGAGTCTTTTTATCCCTCAAAGCAAAAAAATAAGTGTTCATATCATTGAAACCACAAAAACCAAAACACAGGCAGTATCCCTCCTCTCAGCAGTGAGTCATGTCACTGTTTTGTGTGAATGAACTGAAAAACATAAGTGTGTGTATATGAGTGTGTGTTGAGTGAGTGGGTATGTGTGGGCAGGTGGGTGTGCGCGTACAGTATGTGCACACGCTCAAGATCTGTCATTTCTCTTTGTAAGTGCTATGCAAGTACAAAAGAAAAGCGAAGCATTTTGACTTCTTTTGTTTCCTGGAAGAGTAATTCTATTTTTTCAGATCAGGGCATTGACAGGGTTTTGATTTTGTATCCTAAAGTGGTTTAAGAGAGGTTTAACATTTTTTGGTTCTGGTGGGATGTGTGGGAATTCTTCATCTGGATCGGAAGGATTGGATCACCGACCAAGGAAGCTAACTATTGGAGAAAAAAAAGCATATGTGGGAGAACAAAACAAAGTATGGTGCAATGGCTACAAAACAAGTTGTGATTACCATCATGAACTCGTGCCCTGCAGGTCTTTGCTCGTGAGGAAGTATCTGAACACGACTAGTTCAGAACTTTGGATCCCTGAACACTGCAGGACAATTTTTCTTTCCTCGAATCTTGTTACAGAGACTGGCTAGCTGTAGACTACAGTGTTTATTCGTCCAGATTTCTTGAGTATCTGTTGGATCTTTGGCCATAGCTCTGGATAATTTATGCCGGAGCTGGACTGGATTCCTCCTCGCTCCCATCAAAGAGAAAAATTTAGCCTTTGTTCAAGAAGTCAAAGACATTTTTATGGGAAAAAAAACAAAATGGATTCAGTGACATTATTTTATCTCTGTAAAGTACCAATTGTAAATAAACGTCTAGCCTTCTTACCTGTAACTAAATATAATTTTTATGCAATAAATTATATTTCTTAGTTTAAAAATAGTGTGTGTTTTGTTGTTATTGAATTCAAGCTTGTTATTGCAAAAGCAAACACTTAGAGAGCAGCTTGAACTAAAATCCATAGAGTAAATTACAGGCTTCTTTGAAGCACCTTGGCACAACACAATCACTAAATAAATGGCATCTGTGTTTTTATCAATTACACCCTATTTTCACAGAAAATACAGAGCTTCTCAACTTGCCCCTCTTCCCATCACACCTCATTGGAAAATTCCCTTTAGGTCCATTTAGCTTTGAAAGCTTTTAACTGGCAGGCTGTCCAGCCTTCAAATTAACAAGGTTTTAGAGACGCTAATAGTGTCCTTTAAGGATTGACTCTGGGTGCTCAGATCGAGCATTCTAACCTCAGCTTTTTTACGAGTGCAGGATGTGTGAGGATTTGTCAGATTAGGCTCTTACATTGAGAACAAATATCCCAGTGCTGGAGTGAGAGTGCTCTGCAGTATGGTCTTAATGGCGGGCAACACTTTGCACCTGTTTCATTAGATGCACCGCTAATTGTGGACAGATATGCCACCCTCCAGTGCATGACTTAATCGAACCTTTCGTAATGCATAACGTGATGGTACAGTACAAAAGCTGACTGCAGCCTCAGTCCACCCCCTCATCTCTACACAAGATGCTTTTGTTACTTTTTATGGAATAAATCAGCAGTGGGAATAAAATTAGTTTGAAGGCGTGTAAAAATTATTATGAGAACATGCTGCAGGTGATACCAGGACATACACATACACGATGTAAAGCATTTACAACAGATATTCCTCTGCATTATGAAATGATAATGTTTGAGTCCACCTAAGCAGAAATGAAAATAAATATATGCATTGATATGTACAATATCTAAGGTTTGCAGTGCAATTCTATGAAAGCCTCTCATCAAAACATACATATCTATTCACTGCTCTGAATTATAACCTGCAGAACAAGTACATGGAGGATGTATTTGATTTTAGGCTCACAGTGGAAAAACAAACAAACACATTTTTGGAGTGTATTTTTCTCGCAGATTGTTCCAGCACAATAAGATGTGTTGTTGCCAGGGGAAAACAGCAGTTAGGCAGCTGTGAGTTGGACGGGCTCCACATTTGGACAGTGATTCATTTGATAATGATTAGTTTAGTCCAGTGGTGTCCACCTATGTGTCACAGAGAGCCAACTGTCAGAAGGTTTCAGTCCAATCATAGACAGATAACCACCTGGTGTCATGCTCCACTGTAAAGTGGATTTTTAGTCTTTTTTTTCTCTTCTTACAGGTGTTGTATTTATTTATTTATTAATTTTCCACATTCCGGAGTAGTACCAATAAGCACATGACTGACTGTGTGACATGCTGGCCTATTCTGCCCTCTTCTGGTGAATATCATGAGTTACCCACACTTCTCAACAAAGGGCAGTAAACTCAATGGTGCAATATAATCAAAATTAATTCTGGCATATTTTTAAATAAACAAAAAACATATGCAATATGACCGACAGTTTAAATGCTTATTGATTTTAATAAACTAATAATTATATAGGGGGAGACCACAACAACATACAGCCTCGTGGCAATACCTCAAAGTCAGGTGTAGTGATTTACATGTGATATCTGAAGGTAAGTTGAGCACTACAAAATGTATTATAGTATATTTTGTGAGCTTGATCAAGGAAAAAATATTCTATTGCAATAACTAAGACTTTTTTCATTAATGTCAGCACTGGACATCACTCAGAAATATTTGTAATTTGTCTTTGAAAACAAAAAGTCCTGCACTTTGTTTGCTTGTCAGTTTTATGTTTTGTAATCAGATCAGCACATATCTCACAAACCAAAGAGATATCAGATCAAATCCAACACAATTTCAATATGCTACAGAATAAGCTGTATGTATGCTGTATATGCTCCAGTTGTATGCTACAAATTTTAGGATTTGAATGTCAAAATCAAGCAGTTTCCCTTAAAAAGCCAAATGTTCAGTTTGACTTTTAGTTAAGTTTTTTCATCATTTACATCTGTACATCTGAAAATGGTAATTACAATTTTTTTCTATTTTTTATCATTTTTAAGGAGATTTCTACATTGCAGCCATGTGGTTTTTGTTGTTGTTGTTGTTCAAAAAGTATTGTGAGTTAATAGCATCTAAAACAATATATATTCTATATAAAGGTACGGTATCGTTTGGGCAAGTATCTTCTCTAATTATCAGTTTTTAAAATCAAATGTATTTTGGCTTATTTGTAGCCTAAATACTGCCTTTATTTTAGAACCTGAAAAGAAGTAGGTTTTATTTATCTATTTATCTATCTATTCGAGTTATTTAGCACGTAGCCTACAAACGAGTTGTTTTTAATTATTTGTTTGTTTATTTGGTCGTTTGTTTGCATTTTGTTACATTGTAACAATGCAACATCCAAGTTTTAATACAGGGAAGTGTTAAATTTTAAAATCTGACAAACAGAGGATAAATAATAAAATACATAAATAATAATAATAAAATACATAAATAATAAAATACATAAGTAAAAAGAGAAATATGACAACAAAAATAAACGTACAAAGTTGATAATCAGATTAAAAATATAAATAAAAGACAAAAGAAGTAGGCTGCCTTCATATTTTGTTAGTACAACAATACTTCCGGTATATGTGCTGTCTTTCCACATAATAGCGTGGATTACTTTTACTTTTAATATTTTGTGTCTATTACAAACTCTTTTTAAATAAAGCTCTGGCTTGTGCCATATTAAGTATTATGTAAATGAAACGGACGTTGTTATTGAGAAAATATACGTTTTTGAGTCAGTCTCTTATAGATTTGCGTATGTTACGTTTTTATTCTGAAGGACCCGCACCGGAAGTCGTCTTTAGTTGTCGCTGCTGGTGGAAGACTGTTGTTTATCAGCTGACCAGAAATGAAGTTTGCCGTGAAATGGATTTACGGGTCAGTGTAATGCCTGTGGAAACGACAGAAACTACAGCCAGGGAGTGTCCAACAGTGAGGTATGTTTATATTTTATTTAATGAGCCCAACAGCTGACTCGGGTCGAGCTGGTTAGCCAACTGTCACGTTTGTGGACACAGCCTTAGCTAACGTCTAACGTTAACGTTACTTTGACTCTTTACAGCGGTGTCCACACTAAACAAACAAAAAAACTTGACGTGTCTTTTAACGTTAAGAACATAACAACAAAGACAGCGGCAGAATGAGCTGAATAATTTCGCAATGAAGGGTGAAAAAATGTTGAATGTGAAACCGGTTGTTTGCAGTGGCCAGAGGCAGACTTTGAATTCTGGAGCTGGAGTCCGTGTAATTGGCTTTTCTTGGGTAAGCATCATGTGAATACTGGTTCCTCATTAGTGGCACACATGATGCTTTAGGATGCAAGGTCAGCTTTGTTCTGTCATGTCAGCCTTCTTCTAATCTCCTTAAAAAAGTTAAAGTAATGACTTTATATTGTGCAAGCAAGAGATGATTTGTGTCAGAGGCAGAAATAGATCAGAGCCCGGAGCTCTCATCTCATGACTGCTCCTACATGCTTCATTCACCACTTATTTTTATCATGTGAGGTTAGTGTAGTTTGCAGAACACGTGCAGGTGTGAAGTGAAACTGTAGTGATTGCTCAAAGTGTGAATAACAATCACATGAGAAACGAAGTGCAGAGTTACTTTGTGTGATGAAGCATTTCACTTAGAAAAATCCTAAATTCCTAAATTCAGTGGGTTCAAATCCACACACTGCTGCCAAATAGTAATGATTACAGCCGCCATTAATATTGTTGGTGCAGCGGTGGCACGGTGAGAAATGGACAATGTGTTCATGTCACATTCCATATCATCTGAATCATGATGATGAGTCATTTTTAAACTGTGTACCTTTCTGTTCCCAACTGAGGTAGCAGCTGTCATGTTCAGTGTGTTGTGCTGAAAATCAACTGAGTACAACCTCTCTATTTTGGGTCTTTCATGTAAAGTAATACATTTGGAAAATACCTGTCAGCATTCCCAGAATTGAATGATAACTCAGGGTTAAATGTGGTTGCCCTGCAGAATCACAAGATCCAGACAACTGGACTGATCTCTACCAGCTACAGCTCAGAGATCTCTCCAGACTATGGCTTCACAACAAACAGTCTGCCTTTTCTTTTCTGGACAAGCACAAGTAAGCATCATCCAAACCTCACTCTTTGCAGTAACATTATTAGTCCACAGTGATTTTTAACCCATTTTTTTCTTCTTCCCCTTCGCAGCTCTCTCTTTAGTACTTCCTGTCTTTCACTGCCTCAACCTTCCGTTTTCTCTCTCGTCTTCACTGTTTGAGTGTCCTGTATTCTGTTTGTGAACATGGACGACACAGAGCCTGTTCAGCCCAGTCTCAACTCCAACTATGTTCCAACCACTCCCAGCAACCACCATGTATCTGAGGATGAGGAGAGCGATGACCAGAGTCCCTCGTCATCACTCCTACCCAAACATTCCTCAGTGCCTCTGGCCGTGCGCTACAGCCCAGAGGACTCTTACTGTTTTGTGTACATCATCTTCTTTCTCATGGGCATCGGGTCCCTGCTGCCCTGGAACTTCTTCATAACAGCCAAACACTACTGGCTCTACAAACTGAGTAACAACACTCATGGCAGCGGCAATAAGGAACACCGCTCAGACCTCAGTGTGAGTGAGAGGGATGGGATACTAAATACAGCTGCTATGTATATCGAGCGTGGGTGTACACAGGAAGATGCACATTTGTGCCATTCTGCATGCTTTTCATAGAACTGTGACGGTCCTGTGACAGATGTGAGAGCTGAGTGTCTCTACACACCTGATATCCATTGAAACAAAATTACACACATAGAAATGCCTTAAAGGCTTATTGAGGGCAACCAAGATGAAGGTAGAGACAGAGTGGGCAAATACATCTGCTTCTGATTTATGTCTCTGTTTCACAAATGATGAATTTGATAGGTTTCTGCTAATCTTAGATTAATGCTTGATTTGTTTTGACTTAAAAACCATAGCAAAGATAAGGAAGGAATATGTTCTTCTATTTCTCTCCCCTCTCCTTTCACTTCCTCTTATTTTGTGTGAGACACAAAGTGATTGCATGGGTGTATGTCCTTGTATTCAAGCAAAATCAAATGTTTTGTCTTTTCTCTAACTATTTACAGGACTACTTTGAAAGTTATCTGGCCATTGCCTCCACGATACCCTCTGTGCTGTGTCTGATCCTCAACTATGTCCTAGTTAACAGGTGAATTTCCCATACACATACACACACACACACACAAACACACACACACACACACACACACACACACACACACTGGATGCTTGGAGATTACAATGCCTCATATGTCTTATGTAGGGCTTGGAAGATTGTCATTTTAAACAGCATCTCTGCAGCAGAATACATTAATTAATAGCTTACTATCTCACATTTGTCCAACAACACCAAAAATCTGCTTCTTTTTCATGTTTATGTCGATCTTTGATGAAATCCTGTCTAATCCCTGTACATCTGTGTGTGTGTGTGTGTGTGTGTGTGTGTGTGTGTGTGTGTGTGTGTGTGTGTGTGTGTGGTGTTGGCAGGTTGTCCTCAAACGTGCGGATCCTGTCGTCTCTTTTTGTGATCCTGGTGGTGTTTGTGGTGACCACAGTTCTGGTGAAGGTGGATGTGTCAGACAGCAAGACAGAGTTCTTCATTGGTACCTTGGCCAGCGTGGCTGTTGTCAGTGGAGCCTCCAACCTCTTCTCTGGCAGTGTGTTCGGGATCAGTGGGCATTTCCCTATGAGGATTTCTCAGGCCCTTATATCAGGTACAGTCCTCAGTCAGGTCAGGAATGTCTCTTGTTTGAACTATTTTCTTTGAAGCACTTACACAAAGTAATTTAAAAAACAACTTTTCTGCTGTCTTGAAGCCATACATTTTGCACTATTTAGCAGCTTCATCGAGGGTTTACTAATAAAATAACTTGTCATCAAAACTATTTATGGCTTGCCACCACATGTGTGGGACATAATCATGGCATCTGTCTCTTTGTGTGTGGCCACACTCTGATAAACACAACAAAAACACACCATAGAACTCACATGACAGGTTCCCCCTATAGAACAGATGGCCCCATTTTGGACGTTTATTTTGGAACACTTTGTTGGATACATTTGCATAATAATAAATAAACACTGATGTTGCGAAAAATACTAAAGATCTCTAATGCTCTAAGATCCTCACCCTCTTGTCAAAGGCATAGCCTGCCCTATTCTGCCTTGCTGTGGCTCTCATTAGCTTACCCTGACATTCTTACCCTAACCAATCTCACTCCTATGGCTCATTTTGGCTGCAGGCAAAAGTGGCCCTTCATTTTTTTTAATAACAGTGTGAACAGCACAAATCACACAGAATTTGATCTTTTGGGTCACTTTCTTATGTTGTCAAAAAATCGGATACAGGTTTGATTTCTTTTTTGCAATGCAACCTCAGTCTGAACAGTCATATTGGAATTCATGTGACTTTTCTGTCACTCTTGATAGACACTGGTCACAATTCTGCGTTGGCGCGAGTCACAGGGGCTGACAGATGCAGCTGAATGTAGCCCTTGACCTCTTGAAATTTTAGACATAATCGGTTTCAGTGAAGCCATTCACCACTCCTGGTTCCGACTCTGCATTCAAACACATCTCCACACAGAAGCAGCAGTATTGCTTTACAAAAAGCCTTATTAAAAAACTTGCTCTTTTCATCCCACATATTATCTGTTCACAAATTCACTGCCTTCTATTGCACAACAATTTATAAATGAAACCGTAAACGCTGACTTCAGCGGCCTCAATGCTTACTTCCTTATGACAGCGCGCTGCATGTGATGTTTTCGTCATTGTTCTTTTGCACATATGGGTCATTTCAGGACCGTGAGCAGTTCACTGGAATCTGATATTGGCCACATTTAAAAAACAATGGAAACAGCCAATAAAAAATGGAATCTGAGCAATAAATCCACTAAGGCTTGCAGTGTAAATATAGTCTATGTCATGGCAGGTGTATTGCTCAGGACCCAAGGAAGTGCAGGGTTGAGTGTGAAGTTGTTTTTGGGAAAGCTGCAAGAAGCAATATTAGAGGCCAAGTAAACGACCTGTTTTGAACGGGCACTAAACTAGTTGACCTTATTAACATAACTGGTTATAATTATGCCTCTTGTCCAGTGCAGAACAGGAATAAGCAGGGAAAAGAAAATGGATGAACATATGGGCCGTTATCATGGGCCAGGAGTTTCTTTAAAGTGATAGAATAATAAAAATATATATCGTAATTTTAACATTCGTGAGTCACCTCTAGGGAAACTTTGTTGCATGTCCTCTTTCACTTACCCTACTTAAGGCCAAAAAGATGGATTTATAGTTACATTTAATATATAGGGGTGATTTTGGTGGAACATGAGGAAGCTTGTCTTTTTGTTAACTGACTGCACTGATCAACGGAATCAACCAACTGAGGTCCTTTATTGTCTCAGGTCAGGCCATGGGAGGCACGCTGAGTGCAGTAGCATCAATACTGGACCTGGCACTGGCAAAGGATGTGGCAGACAGCGCCCTGGCCTATTTCCTGACAGCTGATGTCTTCATCCTGCTCTGCATCATGACATATCTGCTGCTGCCCAAGCTGGCATATTCAAGGTCAGTAGCAGCCAAAGATAATTCTGGTTGCCTTCCGCAACTAAACCCTCCAGGAGAAATTTTTAGAAACTTAGCAGCTACAGTGACTATTGAAAAGCAGAAAATTTTCTGAATATTTCTCACATGTACTGTGACTTTTTTTTAATCACATTTATGTGACAGTCTATACTCTATGTCACAGTATAGTATGTCATAAAAGAGTGATTTAAAAAGTCATATTATACTATGTCATAAAAAAGTGATTTAAAAAGTCATAGTATAGTATGTCATAAAATTTCACCAAAAAAGTCATAGTATAGTATGTCAGAAAAATGTGATTTAAAAAGTCATAGTATAGTATGTCAGAAAAATGTGATTTAAAAAGTCATAGTATAGTATGTCATAAAAAAGTGATTTAAAAAGTCATAGTATAGTATGTCATAAAAGAGTGATTTAAAAAGTCATAGTATACTATGTCATAAAAAAGTGATTTAAAAAGTCATAGTATAGTATGTCATAAAAGAGTGATTTAAAAAGTCATAGTATACCATGTCATAAAAAAGTGATTTAAAAAGTCATAGTATAGTATGTCATAAAATTTCACCAAAAAAGTCATAGTATAGTATGTCATAAAAATGTGATTTAAAAAGTCATAGTATAGTATGTCATAAAAATGTGATTTAAAAAAGTCATAGTATAGTATGTCATAAAAATATGATTGAAAAAAGTCATAGTATAGTATGTCATAAAAATATGATTAAAAAAAAGTCATAGTATAGTATGTCATAAAAATGTGATTTAAAAAAGTCATAGTATAGTATGTCATAAAAATATGATTTAAAAAAAGT